CTGAACTCGTTTTTTTTTAATATTTTTTTATGTGAGCTGTTATGTCATATTAGTTTTAAGAACTTTAGCAAATTTTTATCTCAATAGTGTAACTCTTTAAGAACTTAGGGACCCATGTATTACCTCATATGTTTATATTTTAATGGTTTTTCCAAGAAATCATTTTTTAATGTCAATAACAGGTTCTTATAAAAGAATTCTTACATGAGATTTCCGCGTCATCTAACTCTAATGATGAAATTGTACAAAAATTGATGGAATACAAACAAGTCCTACATTGATAAAATAAAACAAGAAATAACAACTTATATAATACTAACATATTTCAATAATTGAGAAGCCTTTTAGGTGATGATCAAAAGCAAAACCGTGAGAGCTAAGGCCCAAAACGGATAATATCTCATCATTGTAAAATATGTTTGTTTAATAACCTTATAAAAATAACTTTCATAAAATATCTCCTCAAATAAATATCATGAAAGGTTATGTGAGATACAAACAAGTCTCTCATTGATAAAATAAAACAAGAAATAACAACAATTTATATAATACAAAAATACTTCAACTGATTGAGACAAGTCTCACATCGATAAAATAAGACAAGAAATAACAACTTATATAATACAAACATACTTCAATGGCAGGTGAGATACAAACAAGTCCCACATCGATAAAATAAGACAAGAGTCAGGATGGACTCAGCCTGGTTGGTATCGAGCAATATGGGCTCGGCCTGGATGGTATCGACCAGTATCCGAACAAGCCTCACTTTTCACGTTGATCCGAGAATTAAAGATAGAAATCTTACTTCTAATAATCAAATGTTCTCTATGAAAACGGTTAAGGAAATTCCCTCATTCTCGGGGACCATGAGGCTCGCAAACAAGAAAATATAAAACCTAAAATCCTAGAGTTAAGATGACAGATTACACCTTTGAATGCTCTGGCTTTGAGGCTTGACCTAGACAGAAAAAACCCTAGTGCACTCCGTGGCCGGAACAGTTTTATATAAAAGAAGGTTTTTGTTCTTACTAATTTTTACAAAATATCCACAATCTATGTATGTCCGTCTTGCTGGGTAAAATATCTTAGATTAATTTGCATCAACTAGAGATTAATTTTAGGTTTAAATATACTTTTAATTTCTTAAATTTATGATAAATTTGCATTTTTCCCTTAAAATTTATGATAAATTGATGTTTTTATTTCTATAATTTTTTTTAAAAAAATTTAGTCTTTCAGATCACCAATAACATATTTGATAATGGTCGATTGAGATAATTGTGTATTATTAATTGGATTTGATATGATATTTTTATTAACAGAAAAATTAGTAAATAGATTTTATGCAATAATATTTGACTAATTCCTTAATAAAATTGAAGTATAAAGATTAAAATAAAACTTCTTTAAATTACAAGATTAAAAAATTAATTTTAAATTTAAGAAACTAAAAATAAATTTATTTTAAATTTGAAAGATTAAAAATAAATTTATTTTAAATTTGAAAGATTAATTTTATTATAGTGTTTGGTCTGGCTTGAAACTATTTTTCACGGGTTTAACTACCATTACAACAGATACCATTCAAATAGACTAATATTTCGTTTTTCCAAGTTTAGTTAAAAAAAAACACACACACAATACAATTGTCTTTTTCTATGTTTCGCAATGTGCAGCTCTAATTATGTGTTAGTAACAGTTGCAGCTTTTGACAAGGTGGTTATCATGATCTACAGGAATTTGTCCAACTTGTTGCTGCCATATGGATTCATAACTTTACAAAATTTCCTGGCTAAACAACCAATTTGGTGCACTTTTACAAACAAATTATTAAAATGGGATTGTTTTGAAACATATTACACCTTTGGGGCTGTTTTCTTGGGTGTCGCTATGACACGTGGCCTTTTTTTTTTTGGTCTTGGTTGGGCTGGGATGAGCCACATGAGTGTCGCTATGGGCTGAACCACCACAGTTGATGGACTAAGAAAAATAATGTAGCTCATAGCGACACTCTGTAAAGAAAAAAAAAACGAGAATAATAAAAATTACTAAATTTTTAAAAATTATATTTTTTCTTATTTCAATTCTTTTTTTCGTTTTTATCCGAAATTTTTTTATAAATTTTTAAGCAAATTTTATATTTATAAAATAATACTTATATTTTTAAAACTAGCGCTATGGGCCATAGCGCCCCAGGTTTTTTTTTTTCGTTTTTAAAATATTTTCACATTATATTACTAAATTTTTAAAAATTATATTTTTTCTTATTTCAATTCTTTTTTTCGCTTTTATCCGAAATTTTTTTATAAATTATTTATGAAATTTTATATTTATAAAATAATATATATTATTTTCAAAGCGGCGCTATGGGCCATAGCGCCTCAGTTCCGCTATGGGCCATAGCGCCTCACTGTTATTTTTTTCAGTTATTATTTTATAGTTTAATTATTATTTTTTAACAAAATTTATTTATTTTTCTTATATTACGTTATTTTTATTCGTTTTTTCTTCACATAATATTTTATATTTTTAAATTTATATTAATATATTTTTTATATTATTTATATAAATGTGTTGTTATAGGTTATAGCGACTTCAGTTTTAGCCGTATTGAGTCGCTATAGCCTATAGCGACTTTGTTTGAGACTCCACCAGCTACAGCGACTCTACTAATATGGCGTTCATGGCTTATAATCATACCCAAAAATGCCACGTGTCACTGGTGTCGCTATGGGCCATAGCGACACCGTAGAAAATAACCTCAAAAGTGTAATATGTTTCAAAACAGCCCCATTTTGGTAAATAGTTTCTAAAAGTGCTCCAAAATGTTCGTTTAGCCAAATTTCCTATATTAAAGATGAAATTTGAAATGTAAATGGTAAAATTTTGCCACGAGTGTTAGTTACAGCAGCCTCACGGATTCTGGCCTGAATAAAAAAAGATTTAAGTTGTAATAGTTATAAAAAAAAATTAAAATTAAAACGGAACCCAACATTTTTTAGCTATGATATCAGTTTCATAACTCCTCAATTTGATGTCTAGCGTGTACTGGTAGATGAATACTGCTGGTGAATTGGTTCTTTCGAATTCAATCATCTTTGTACTTTCTTAATTGTTTATACTATTCTGCTTAATGTTGGTAGTGTAAGTTATTAGGTTGGTCTACCTGCAGCTACTAGTTTTGGCATACCCAACAAGCGATAGTGTAACTACAGCAAACAAGGTCGAAACTAATCACTTGAAAGAATTTTATTTATTTGGCACTACGATGGCTGCAATTATGTTGATTTAATCACCTAATATGTCAATGATTAAAAGGGGATAGGATAAGATGCAACAGCCAGCTTTTAAAATTTATACAAAGTGAATATAAGCATTATTGGTGATCATAAAACAAAGTGCAATAAAGCAGCCATTGCATAATACATAAAATTAATTGTGAAGTTGGTTAGTATTATCACACACCCTTGTCTTCTTTTCTGCTGTCATATTAACTTCAATTGTTGCACTGTCACAGCGCAATTCGCAATTTATAATCTGCATTGTTTCCTGAGTGTTTTTCATCTACTGTTCCTCTGGGTCAGTAAGTTTTTATAACACTCTTTTTGGTTCCTACACGCGGCCAGATGATTTCATTTTTGAAGAGAAGGATAGAAGAGTTTTGTGGTCCATTGTCTTTATAAGCTGAAGACAAGCTTTCAGGTTCCAACACGTGTAATCCTAAACTCCTAAATAAGTTGGTAATTGTTAATATTGTGCATTTCTCTTGATAAGTCTCACAATGGAGAAGCAGCAAAATCCAACTATAAAAGATAATCATCAACACAATTACAAAGCATACCCTTCTCGGCCTTTTGATTAAAATCAAGTGTAGTACGTGTTCTTATTGGTTAAATACATTATATGAGTCATTGATTCACATGATATTACATTTATTTTTTTAAGGAGAGGGCCCTTGGCAGTAGCTTGCTACTCCTACTGGGATTGGCATGTGTTGTCCATGCCTTGCACAAAACCAGAGCTTGGTACATTTCACCCAAATCACTTTTGAATGTTTTATGGGTACGCAATGTAAAATTTTGGTATGTGTTCAAGGGATCTTAAAAGACTTGAACTGGAAGTAGATATATTTAGTACCCTTTTTCCTATTAAAATGGTTTAATAAGAATGTTGGATTGAAATTATTCAGATAAAATTAATTAGTGCTGCATTGGTTGAACCATTAGAAATTTCAGTGATTTATTCACTTTTTCTTAAGATAAGCTCTCCTAAAATATGTATTTTGGAGTCTTTCAGTATTTTGCTATTATGTATTGTAACAATCCTATCTTTTATTCTGACAGCATGTAGCAATTAAGATCCCTTTTCACTTTGAAGACTCTGTATCAACAACTGTACCAAACTTAATTTTTGGTAGCATATGTGAAATTATAGTGATTTTGATAATCTTGAGTTTTTTTTACTATCCAAACAGAACTTTAAGGGCTGTCAAAATTAATAGGTCTATCAGTTTGGCTCATTAAACATCAACGGTTTGTCAAAGTTAAAGCTCTACCAGATTGGTTGGAATTCTATGAAAGAACTCTGCTATGTCTGTTCAGGTGAATCAGTACCATGGCATAGCCTGAATGTCCAATGGATTTAGTTATGCAATAGGAATGTTGAAGAGAATATTTACTGAATTGCTAATTGCCCAAGATAGGTCCAAATTTTGTTGGCAGAACACCCCCTTAGGAAGGTAGAATTTTTATTTACAAATCTGAAGACTATTCTTAAAATATCTAAGGAAATTATTCATCAATTACAAGCACACGTGAAGATATTTTCTCTGTCCTCTATTTTGTGTTTTAAAACTTAACTAGTGGTCTGAAAACTTCAATGGCCATTCCAATTTTATATTCTCATTAGAGACAAAGCCGGGGTAAATAACACACAGAACATTTTCTAGATCATACAAAGGTTGTAAAATTTATCCTTTCTTTTGAAATTTGAAAATGGTTATGAGTAAAGGAACAAAGTAGATGAGAAAGCTACTTTAGCAGCTCAGAGCCGCATAGGAACAATGGAGCTGTGGCATGTGGTCTTGGTGTCCCCTGTCCGGGTTGGCTGCCTTGTGGTCCTTCTCAATTATGAAATGTCTGCTTCAATCTATTTTGAGGGTTGAAATGATGTCAGTTTCCTTCAAATTTTCCATTTTGTTTCCATCATTTCTTACTAACCTTTTGTCATTAGCACAAAAGCATTTACTTTAAAGATCCTAGCATGAAGTTATAATCATTGATGCATGCTTTATTACAATTTTAACTTCTGATTTTCAAGGTTGTTGTTGTTATTCAATGTATTTATTTATATGCAAAACTACATAGTGTCATAAGGTTAACAATCATTTGTGAACTGCTAGCTTAATATGGCATGATGTTGGAAGATGTTACTGGTTGATGATTACAATAATGATTTGACTTAAACCGACATGCAAATTGCATCATTCACTGTTAATTGGATGGGAAGTGTAACTAGAAGGACCATGACAGTTAGTTTTGACATGTGGCTCACGTTATAATCTTATCTTCACTTTATTTATCTCATTTAATTTATCATCAAATATAGCTAGTATCTCTTAACTTGTTGCCAGGACTCAACGAGGTAAAAATGAAGATAAACCTGTAGTTTTTCTCTTTCTTATTTTTAATTTCTGCGAATACATTTTTTTCTGCAACTATAGTCCACATTATTGAATACTATTTCATATCTCATCATTTCCTTCCACTTTCATTTTGTACTTTTATATTTTAATTTTGCTATGCTGCTGTAATATGAGGTGATATGCATCTTCGAATTGATAATATCAATCATCATTCAACTATTTTCTCCCCTTGTGGGTACTGAAAACCACCGTCATTGTTGCATCTCCCTTCTTCTCTTTTACGTGATGCATCCCCTTATCTAACAAGAGATCACAATAAAGGGATATGAAACAAAAATGTTAAGACACTCGTCATGCCATCCTCGTCAAACATGTTTATTGTAGTCCATATTCGACACGAACATTATTAGAATTATTTATTTATATCCAAACGCCACCTAACAAAAACAATATATGAGCAATTCTAATATTATATAATTTAAAAATATAAAATTAAAACTGAATTATATTTTATAATGTATTTTTTAAATAAATTAAGTTAAAAAAATAACTTCAAATTGGATTAGAAAAATTTAAATGCACCAACAAAATATTTTTGGTTACTTTAAGTAAGGTATCAAAACTTCATTGTTGTATATAAAAAAAAAAATGTAATTAAGAGAGAAAATTTTATTAAAGGTGGATACTTCACACACTCATTTTCAGTATTGTGCATAAAAAAATGTAATTAAGAAATAAAATTTCACCAAAAATAAATACTTCACACATTCATTTTCAAAATAGTAGTATTTCAAATCTAAGTTTTAAAATTTAAATTTATGAAAATTAACTTCAAGGGCAAGAGAATTAATAGGAAAAATGGGATTATGAAAACCCTTCTTCATAACTTTGAGATGGGCCAAACTTTCGGTGGTGAACGAACATATATTGGCTTTAAAGGTGAAGTTGCTAACTGCCTGCACTATCGGCTTTAAATCAATATGCTTTTCTCTTTGTTTTGAACAGAAGTTGGATAGGTCCAAGTCAACCTCTCCACCTAAAGGAAAATCAATGCTAATGAATATCATAAACAGCTTCTGGACTTACCCACCGATGAAGGGATATCTTATTTTTTTCAGTTAAAAATGACTTGTGTATGACATTAAGTAAAGAAAAATGCAACACTTAACATGGGAGTTGACGATAATTTTACTAATATTTATGTATTCAAATAAACAAAGTATGCCAAGAAACAAAAAAGTATATCATTTTTTTCACGCACAGTTTTATTTAAACTATTTTATACATTTTTCTTTTATATATATATATTACATCACATCACATTTATTACTTTCACTTTCTTTTTTACTAAGATATGTACAACCTTAACGAGCATTAACCATCTGTTTTAATAACGAGTCAAAATATATGGTAAAATCCAATGATTCAAGTTCCATTCAATGTCGGTTTCTCTCTTTCTGGCAACAATTCGAAGTAATTTAAATGCGATGTAGATTGCAAATAACGATGCGCGATATTAAAATTTGAATTTGGCAAAAAAATGTTGCTAGATTTAATTTAACATTTTAAAACAAGAGGTTGGCAGATCCCATTTAACCACGTTGTCTCTTTCTGGAAAAGTCAAATACTCTGTTTTTACATGTTAAAACAGGTTGCAATACTTAAAAGGAGGGTAACTTAAGTACGTTGTTACGAAATTGCATACCCTAAAAAATTGCACAGGAATCTTCCAATGCTTACTCAGTGACCCTTTTTTACCACTTTATTGTCCTCCAGAAAACAAATGGTCCCTTATCGATTATCATGAGTAATTTAAAAAATGGTCCTCCCAATTGCACATAGCATTGATTTTCATCAACTTCCCCCCTCTAACCCACTTGAAAGCACCGTTCTACCACCTCTCAGTTCAACCATCCTTTGCATCTAAGCCTCCAATCCCTCTCTCTCTCTCTCTCTCTCTCTCTCTCTCTCAAAGGACAATCATTATATCACAAAGTTCTTGACTTTCACAGAGCCAAAAAGATTGGAGTGAGAAGGCATTAGGCTAGAAGAGGAAAAAAGAAAGTGTCATTTTTTGAGACAAGAAGCACACACCCATTGTTGAGTGTGAAATCATGGGTTGCTCAGCCTCAAGAACCATCACCATAGTGGCGAACAGTAACCAAGAGGATCCTTCTCCTTCTGCTTCTCTTACTTCTTCTTTCTCCTCTTCTTCTGCTTCACACAATTTTAATTCTTCACCACCAGTTAGAAGAAGAGCACTTTCTCTCCCAATGCCTCTTGTGCACCACCCTCCCATCAAAAAGGGTGACACACACCACCTTGTCTCACTCACCTCTACCACCTATGGCTCACTTCTCCTCATTGACCAAAAAGACCCCATCTTGAGCCACAAGGACCAACCCCACCTCAAGGACCAACCCTACCTCACCAAAACCTCAAACCAAGGTGAGCCAGAACAGTCACTGTCCCCAGACTCGGTCATCAACACTTGGGAACTCATGGATGGCTTGGATGAAGAAGATGAAGAACAACAACAACAACAACAACATTCCCTCCACACTACCAAGCCTCCTCTCACTTCCATTCTAGACAAACCAAGTTCATGCAGGTACACAGCCTTTGATGGCTCTGCAAAGAAGAAGCTCCTTGATTCCTTTGAATCACTGAAAACTTCGCGAATGCAAAAGGAAAACTCTTCTTCCACAGAATCAACATCAACCAAGAAGCCACTTTGGCAGCACTTGTCTGAGGAAGCTTTGCTTGCCAAGTTGGATCCAAGTGTGGCTTGGAGTTACAGGAGAGCATTATCATCAAGGCAACTAGGTAGGAACACTCTATCTAGAGATGTTAGATCAATGGGGTCTAGCCCTTTGAGATTTCCTTCTTCTTTTACATTTGGTAACAATAGTTTGTGCCGTTTGCCTGGCACTGAAGACAGAATAGTGCTCTATTGTACTAGCTTGAGAGGGATCCGAAAGACCTATGAGGATTGTTGTTCAGTGAGGATGATACTGAGGGGATTCAGAGTTGCGGTTGATGAGAGGGACATCTCAATGGACTCATCCTATAGGAAGGAGTTGCAAGATGCGCTTGGTGGCAAGGGTTTTACCTTGCCACAGGTGTTTATCAGAGGAAAGTATGTGGGAAATGCTGAGGAAATGAAACATCTGAATGAGTCTGGGGAATTGGCAAGGCTTTTGGAAGGGTTCCCCACTCAGGATCCTGGCTTTGTTTGTGACAACTGTGGTGATGCCAGGTTTGTGCCATGTCCCAATTGCAATGGTAGCAGGAAAGTGTTTCAGAATGGAGAAGGAGGATTGAGTAGGTGCCCTCATTGCAATGAGAATGGCTTGATTAGATGCCCAGGTTGCTGCTCATGATTCATCAAAATTAGTCTTAATTCCTCTTGGTCAGTTACTGAGATTCATTTATGTTCTCTGAATGACAAATTCTTCTGAGTCAGCTAGTTACTGAGATTCATTTAAGGAATTGGCTTCTCCGAAAAGAATGTGATCTTATGAAGCATGTTGATCAAATTTCTGACTACACGCTTGAAGAACATGATTATCGACCAACCACAACACCTGATAAGGTTGGCCTTGTTTTTGTTGATTGGGGTAGAATTTGTCATGATAAATTTTGGACAACTACCACGAAAGCACATTTCAGTTTCGTCCTTTGTTTTTAGTTAGTACTTTTAATTGTTATTTGTTTATGTCAGATTTTTTTTATTTTGCTTTATTAGTGTTCATTACCTCTCTGAACAGCAGAAAATAAAACTGACAAGGTTATGTGTACGTGTGTTTAATTTTTTCTAATTTCCAGTGGCTGAGCTATGAAGCTGTATAGCGTGTTTTTTTGCGGCATAATATGCACTTATCAATGAAGCTGGGCGGTCACTGTTTTCAACAGTGAAACCCATAGAACAAACTACAAGGCATTGGTTGAACAACTTGTGCATCATGATTTTTAGCATATACAAATACGAACAGAAGTTGCAATATGCGGGTGTTACTGGTTTTGGCGTTGTGTTTCCGTGTTTGTGCTCTTGTCAGTTTCAGCTAAAATAGATTGTTTTCATCAAAGGGTCAGTTTCGTAAGACTGACCCATCTTGCTGCAATTGTACAGTCTTCACGTTCACGCCATTATTTGTGTCTGCCACTGTGTTTGATGAATTTCAGAAAATAATTTACTGCATGCCACGATGGGTTAAACCGGATCATTTGCTTATATGAATATCTTAATTGTTCTATTTGTTGAAGTAATAATTAAACATTATAACACTATAATATTCACACACATGAGACCATTTTATTGATGTTACTTTAAATCAATGTTCGTCATCGTTCATATATGTATGATTGATAAATGTTGGTGAAAAATAATATAGGGTCACCGCATGTGTGATTGATTTAAAAGCAATGTATGTTTTCCTGCTGAGA